TTAGTTTTAAAAAATAAAAGAATTAGTTTTTCATTGAAGAAAAACTGAAAAAAAAATCTCACTGAAATCTAAAAGTCCTTTAAGCAGGTGCTATGTTATAAAACATTCTAATCTGTGCTAATGAAGCTGGATTTACAACCTAGTAAACTAAACAAAGAGCTTATGTTGAGTTGATTAATCAGCTGGGACTAAAATCCGTGTACTTAAGAAACAGTTTTTGCTTTTGCTTTTTTTTTTTTTTAAATATATTTTATTGATTTTGTACATAGAGGAAGGGAGAGAGATAGAGAGCTAGAAACATCTATTAGAGAGAGAGTCATCCATCAGCTGCCTCTTGCACACCCCCTACTGGGGATATGCCCGCAACCAAGGTACATGCCCTTGACCGGAATCGAACCCAGGACCCTTCAGTCCCCAAGCCGACACTCTATCCATTGAGCCAAACCGGTTTCGGCAGTTTTTGCTTTTTCATTTTTCTTCGCTCCGATGTAAAAAGATGCTGGCTCTCTTATTGTGAAATTGCTTTATTACAAGACTGTCTCAATCCACTTGAAATGCAGCTTCTATTTTTGTGAAACTTGTTCCATATACGTTAGAGAATTCCTAATCCTATCTAATAAAATAGTAATATGCAAATTAACCATCATTCCACTATGCCCACAAGCCATGCCCGCCAGCCAATCAGAAACAAGTATGCAAATTTTCCCAACCAAGATGGCTGAGGCCACAGAGTGAGCAGGAGGCTTGGGTTTCTCTAGCAATGGAGGAAGCCAAGTATCCCACACACCCTGGCTGGCTCAGGCCTCCATTCAAGGCTACAAAGTTTCAATTATAGAAGATAAATAAATCCCAGATACCAGGGCTTCCTCTTGGATTGTCAGGGGGTGTGGCCGGCCTGCAAACCGTCACAGGCCCCTCGTGTAGGCTGTAACATGCCCCAAGGAAACCCCCACCCTGATCTGGGATACCCTTCAGGGCAAACCAGCTTGACCCCACCCATGCACCAGGCCTTTATCTTATCTAATAAAAGAGTAATATGCAAATTGACCACCACTCCAACACACAAGATGGCTGCCCCCATGTGGTCAAATATGGCTGCCACAAGATGGTTATCATGGCAGGGCAGTTGAAGGGGACCAGGCCTGCAAGGGAGGGCAATTGTGGGAGTTCAGACCAGCAGGAGAGGGCATTTGGAGGGACCATGCCTGCAAGGGAGGGCAGTTGGGGGCAATCAAGCTTGCAGGGGAGGGCAGTTAGGGGTGACCAGGTCTGCAGGGAAGAGTAGTTGGTGGTGGGGGGGGACCCAGGCCTGCAGGGGAGGGCAGTTAGGAGAAAACAGGTTGGCAGGGGAGCAGTTGGGAGCCAGCAGTCCTGGACTGGAGTGGGTGCAGGCTGGGCTGAGGGATAACCTTGCCCCTGTGCACGAATTTCATGCACTGGGCCTCTAGTGACAATAATGACTTATGCAGAGTCTCAACTGGGAACCAAGCAGATTGCAGTTATTGAAACATTTTGACATGATACTATCATCCTTTAAATATTTCTTTACGCCCTAGCTGGTTTGGCTCAGTGGATAGGTCATGGGCCTGCCGACTGAGGGTCCTGGGTTTGATTCTGGTTAAGGGCACATGCCGGGGTTGCAAGCTCGATCCCTAATAGGGGGCATGCAAGAGGTAGCCAATCAGTGATTCTCTCTCCTTCTTTCCTCTCTGAAGTCAATAAAAATATATATTAAAATATATATTATATTTTAATATATATTTTAATAAAAATATATATTAAAAAATAAAATAAATACTTCTTTACTTTGTGACACAAAAAGTTGTTCTAGGGTCATCCTATATTTTCTTTTCCCGCCCTGGAATCTCAGTTGTTTTTCCAAAGAGCCCTAGATTCCTTTAGTAGAGAATGATATTTAGAGCCAAGACCTAAGCTTGGTTATTGCTACAGGCATTGCCTTTAGGACCTCTCAGCAAACAAGATCAGAAAACACACACACACACACACACACACACACACACACACACACACACTTTTATATCTATTTCTATTGTATTAAGTGCCATGCGTTCATACTCATACATTGAATTCCAATCCAACAGCAAAGAGTTCTTTCAAGCTTTTCCCCTTTTCATATTTGTATCTCCTTTCTTTAGCACCAAGATATCTGTTGGGTTTTTTAAAAAAAACATTTTGAATGTAACAAATTTATAATGTGTGTATTGCTATTTTTTTTTTTTAAATATTGTTCTCACTTGTATTGGTCTTTGTTTTCCAAGAACTATCAAAATTCCAGAGTTTTATTTTATTCACTCAACCAACACACATTTATCAAGCAAATACCTTGTGTCAGATAATGTTCTCCAGCTAGGGATATAGCAGTGAATAAAACATCGTATTGGGAAAGGAACCACGGAAAGAGAATGATAGATACAGAGCTAGGAAATGGCAAAGCTGGGATCTGAACCCAGACAGCCTGGCTCCAGAATTCATACTATACCATCTGCCTCTGATTGCTTTTGTAATTTGCTCTCTGCCTTCCACAAAACTTTACAGCTCTCATGAATCCAATAAAAATGCCTCTGTCCGTTTCTAAATCTATGCAATGCATCTTCCACATTACTTAATTTCTCTGATACTGTTTCCAAATCTGTAAAAATACATTAATCTCAACCTGCTGTGAGGATAAACGAATTATATGAGATGCCTGGTGCTACTTGTGACACATCAGAGGTATTTAGTGAAGTTTCCTTTTCCATTTCAGCATCAATGCTGCACTATAAAGTTTTCCAGGACAAAGACTTTTTTCTCTTCCTCATTCAATCAAACACTTGTTTATACGTCCATTTATTCTTACATTTATTCAAAAAGCATTTATTGAAAATCCAATATATACCAGGTTCTTTGCTAGTTGTGGGGGATCCAGTAAAGCACAGCCTCCATTCTCTAGGAGCTCACAGTCACATCCAAGAGACACACAGTTTCTATACAATCTGATTTGTAGGTCAGATGAGCGTTAGAAGAAGGGCAGCCATCGAAGAGGTCTTCTTGAAAGAAGGGGCTCCATCATAGCAAAGACTGATGTAGCAGTTCTGCTATTAAAAGTTGCCAAAGATAGCCCTAGCTGCTTTGGCTCAGTGGATAGAGCGTTGGCCTGTGGACTAAAGGGTCCCAGGTTCGATTCCAGCCAAAGACACATGCCTGGGTTGCAGGCTTGATCCGCACCCCCACCCCCAGTAGGGGGAGGACAGGAGGCAGCTAATCAATGATTCTCTCTCATCATTGATGTTTCTATCTCTCTGTCCCTTTCCCTTCCTTTCTGAAATCAATAAAAATATATTATTTATTTTTAAAAAAATATATTTTATTGATTTTTTACAGAGAGGAAGGAAAACATCATAGAGAATTAGAAACATCGATGAGAGAGAAACATCGACCAGCTGCCTCTTGCACACCCCCTACTGGGGATGTGCCAGCAACCAATGTACATCTCCTTGACCGGAATAGAACCTGGGACCTTTCAGTCCGCAGACCGACGCTCTATCCACTGAGCCAAACCGGTTTTGGCTAAAAATGTATTTTTTAAAAAGTTGCCAAAGATAGACTAAACAAATGAATGTGTGAATGAATTTGATTCAGTTCAACAAATATTTCATAGAAGATCTGCATTGCACTCTGAACTGGGAGTGTACAGGTGAGAAAGGGGCAGCCCAGGCCCTTAATGAGCTTCTAGTTTTCCTGGCAGATATAGACTTCTATAAGGAGATATTTCAATGCAATGTAGCAAATTATAGAAATAGGCAAGCTCCTGTGACAACAAAATGATGAAGGGGGCTCTAAGGTCTCTTGAGGTAGGCTTCTTAGAGTGAACTTGCTGAAGCTTGGATATATCCAGTAGATGAATGGGAATCATCTAATCAAAGCAATAATATGGTCAAATTGATATTTGTTTGTAGGATGGAGGGTGAAAATGAGGAAGACTAAAATCAATGATACCAGCAAGAAGGCTGAATTACGGATGGGAAGCTTGGGGTAGGCATTTGAATGTATAGAATTTGACAGTTGTGCAGTTACTCAGAGCATTCATGGGAGAAGCCTTATGTGGGGAAAAAACACCACTTTTAAAAACATATATTTTTATTGATTTCAGAGAGGAAGATAGAAACATAAATGATGAGAGAGAATCACTGATTGGCTGCCTCCTGCCTACCCCACACTGGAGATGGAGCCCGGCAAGTGCCCTAATCTGGAATTGAACCATGACCTCCTGGTTCATAGGTCGATACTCAACCACTGAGCCATGCGGGCTGGGCTGAACCATTCTTTAAGCAGCTGGCAAAGAAAAGGCAGCCCTGGAAGGACACCCAAGAGAAGAGTCAGAGGACTAGGAAAGACTGGTGCACTGCGTGTCCAAAGAAATAAAGAGAAGGCAGAGACCAGGAGGATCAGGAAGGTGGGAGCAGTTGTGTCCAATGCTGTACAGAGTTCCAAAAAGCCTCCCTTTGGTTGGCAGTGGGTGGCCTTTGCCAGAGCAGTTCCTATGTAAGTGGCGCAGGTGAAAGTCTCCTTGCAACAAACGAGTGAATGAGGGAGTAGAAAAAGTGAAGGTGAGGAAGTTAAATGAATGAATCAATCACGCGCAGTGCCCTCACTCGCCTTGGGAATTTCCAGGGCCGACGTCGGGAGTTGGTGCGGAACAAGGACCTTCCAGACAGGGATCTGGGTGCCAGCCAGGAAACCTGTCAGCCTCACGACCCTTAGGTAGGGCGCGGCTCCAAGGTCAGGGTCACCTCGGGCCTCTCTGCAACCCGTCACCTTGACGACCGACTGAAAAACAAAACAAAAACTGGTAGAAACGGAAGCAGTCAGATCATCTCGCGATATCTGGCACGCCGACGCGCGTCTTTCAGGCCTGGGAACCGCGGGCGACTCTCGCGAGACTTGCCTGGAGTCGGAGCGCGGGGCCAGGCCGTGGGGAAAGCCGAGCTCAGGTGGGAAACATGTCGGAGTCCGAGCTCGGCAGGAAGTGGGACCGGTGCTTGGCGGATACGGTCGTCAAGATAGGTAAGGGTTTTTCTCCCCCGGTAGGACCCTCCTCTAGGCTCCATTGAGCGGGAGGGCGGAAGCGAAGCTCCGCGAGAGTCAGGCCGCCAGGCCTGTCCCGGCCCCTCAGGCCGGGGCGAGCTGCCCGAGCCCGGGCCGAGGTCACCCGGGCGGGCGGCGGGGGACCTGGGCCGTAGGCGCCTCGGCCTCGCCCGAGCGGGCGGAGTGCAGTTGCAGGCCTGCAGAGGGGGGTTGGCTGGCGGCGGGAGAGGTGTTGAGCTCTTGGAGTAAGAAAACGGTATGTAGGGCACAACCTTGTGCCAGCGGCTCCAAACCCTCCCTGGGGCCGCCTCTCCCGCGCGGGGCGTGCGGGCTGGTCCGGAGGCCGCCTCCCACCCCAGCGGAAACCACGGTTCCTTCTAAAGAAGGTCATCGGGAGCACGTTGCAGACCCTGCCAGCCCCGAACGTGAGCGGCTGTCATTCCCGAGTTGTAACCTGATTTATCGGCGTCGGAGTAGTCCAGGGCCTGAAACTGGAGACACGGCGATGGGGATCTGGAATGAGAATTGCCCTGGAAAGTGAGGCATTGGCCACTTTGTAGTCCTTGATGTAACTCCGTGGAGCCTTTTAACATGTGACACAAATTATGAAGTCACTGCAGGGAGGGAAGGGGGAAGAGGGAAATTCCTTAACTGAGTGAGAATATTAAGGTGCCAGACACTGCTGGGTGCCCAGCTTTATACATTACCTCATACAGGTCATGAAATGGAGAAGGGATTTGTCCAGGGTCTAATAAATGGCAAAGTTGGGAGTTTATCCCAGGGTTTCTGGCTTCAGGCCCCATGGTCTTTTTTGCTAATAATTTTTATTTTCGAATTTGATATTTTTGTGTGGAAATCTCGAGTACTTAAGAGGATTATTCTTGAATGAATAGATAGGAAAATAAATGATTGTAAGCTTCATGAGAGCAGGGATTTTTTGGTTTATTCATTGCTGTATCCCCACCCCCCTAGAAGAATGCTTAATAAACATTGAGAAGAGTGAATAAATGGAGTACTGTATCACAGGTACCACTTCACCCTTGGATTCACTACTTGCCAGCTGTGTGATTTGGGACAAAGTTCTTTAATTTCTTCATGCCTGTTTTTTCATTTGTAAAATAGCAATAAAAATTATTACTGTCTCAGAGTTGTTGTGAGGATTAAGTAAGTTAAAGGCTTGCGTTTGACTCACTTATTAAGAATGGGTTAAGTTGTAAGTAGCCAAAGAAATACACGGTTTTTGTTAGTGTGAACAGTGTATATTTAGGAGAGAAGATGTTACACGTAGATATGAAATGACCAAAGTAATGACCAAACGGTAGAGTGTAGTAGTTAAGTATGGGAGGTAGATGTCCAGCTGGTTCGATGGTTGAACCAGGAGTTGATTCCCAGTCCAGTTACATGCCTGGGTTTTGGGCTACATCCCCTGTGGGGGATCGTGCAGGAGGCAGTTGATCAGTGATTCTCTTTCATCATTGATGTTTATATCTCCCTCTTCCTCCCTGAAATAAATAAAATATATATATATTTTTAAAAAGAATGGGAGGTAGACAGAGCTGGGTTGAAATAACCCACTCCCATCCATAGCAGTTTTGTAGCTTTGGGTAAGGTATTCCTTAAATGGGGACAGAGACACATTTACCTAAAAGGATTATGGAGAGTGAAGGTCAGAAAAATATATAAGATACTTAGCATGGTGCTGTGTATTTAGTAAATGGTGGTAGTAATTGCTGATATTAATATTGTTTTGCCAGTGATGATCATGTGAGGCAGCGTGTAGTGTCATTGTCCTTCATGAGTGGGACATTGGTGGTGGGTATGGCATACACAGATGAAATAATTAAATGAAGCATGGTAATGTATGATTACAGATACAAATTAAAATGAGTAATTCAGACTCTTCGCTGTAGTACTCTTATAAATCCAGTAAATGGAGTGATGGGTCAAGGTCATCCAGTAAGAGTTTGCAAGGGAAATGGACTTTTAGCTGACCTTTGGAGAATGACTTGGACTTGGAAAATCAGGGAAGATGGAAGAATTTGAGCAGAGGCCTACTTGAACTTACATAGAGGAGGAAATTGAAGCATGGAAAGATTAAGTCTTAGAAGTGGAGGAGCTGGGTTAAAACCCACACATGGTAATTTTAGCACCCCTGTTCCCCAGAGAAGCCTGGTTTAGGTGGAGTCAGAACTGTGAAATGTCTTGGACAGGTTCTACTTTGTCTTCAAGGCTTTTGCGCTGCCCTTGACTTTTTCACATGCATTCTGTAGATTCAGTGCCTCTGTCTTACTAGTATATTAAATCTATTACTTTCTGCTTCCAGGGCTCATTACACCTAGTCTGGTGGGGAATCATGGGATGGTTTTATTTTGTATTTTTTAATATATTTTTATTGGTTCAGAGGGGAAAGGAGGGGGGGAGAGGAACTGAAACATCAATGATGAGAATCATTGACCGACTGTCTCCTGCACGCTCCTTACTGGGGATCTAGCCCGAAACCCGGGTACATGCCCTTGATTGGAATTGATCCTGGGACTCTTGCAGTCTGATGCTCTGTCCACTGAGCAAACGGGCCAGGGGATGGTTTTACTAGTAAACAAGAAATATCTGTGGAGCTCCTGGCCAGTCAGTGGGCAATAGAGAAGCAGAAGAATTTCACTGCCTTTCACAGGGAATTGATGTGCTGTAATGAAATTTTTGTTATGATTGTTCTAGCAATGTTTTATACCAAACAGATTTGGAGTAGAGGAGACAAGCAGTATTGTAAATGTGAAGTGATCATGATCTGAACTGTTAGATTGGAAAGGAATATTTGAGAAACTCCTAACTTTTCTTCCCATTTATAAAATGAAATAGTATAACCAACTCACTTCCTAGGGCAGCAAAGTGACAAGCACATAGCAGGAACTCAGTAAATGCTATTTCTTTATTTTCACTCCAATTGGTTAACTTTGCTGATTTTTTACAGAGAGGAAGGGAGAGAGATAGAGAGTTAGAAACATCGATCAGCTGCCTTCTGCACACCCCCCACTGGGGATGTGCCTGCAACCAAGGTACATGCCCTTGACCGGAATCGAACCTGGGACCCTTCAGCCCTCAGGCTGACGCTCTATCCACTGAGCCACACCTGTTTTGGCTGATCTTCATTTCTTATAAAGATGACACCAAGGTTAGAACTTGGATAAGTGGTAATGTTATTGATCAGAATTTGGAAGTGATACAGGAGGGATGCCTGTGCACCTCTTTTATACCAAATAACAGATAAGTCTTAGTAACTGATTACATTTAGCAGGAGGAGACTACAGGGAGAAAAAAAAGGTCAGGATTTTGGTTGCTTTTCTCTTACATAGTTAAATTTGAGGATGATAATGGAGAAGTTGAACGGGGATTTTTAATTTTGAGGGGGCAGCTGAGTTCCGATTTTGAGGGGTTTGTCTCATTAGTGATGGACTTAGATATAGGGCATGGAAGTCTAATTTTGGGAGGCTTTATTTTACTACTCTGAGTAGTCTTTGGCACTGCAGGATGTACTTTTTTGTAGTGAGTATTAGTTCCTGTTCTTTTAGGCAGAGCGGTAACAGAATTTTTAATATCTTTGCTACATGCTTTCCTGGTACTTCAGAATGGAAATGGAGACCCAGGGAATAATAAACCTGTCAAAAGAAAGAGATATTTTAGAATAGCGGTCGCCAACCAGTGGTCTTCCTCTTTCCTTCCCTTCCCCTTTCCCCTCTCTCCTTCCCTCCTGCTACTGTCTTCTTGATAGTAGCTATCCTAATGGGTATCTCTTGCAGTTTGATTTGCATTTGCCTAATGATTAAGAGTGTTGAGTATCTTTACATGTGCTTATTGGCCATTTATATATCTTCCTTGGAGAAATGTCTATTCAAGTCCTTTGTTCATTTTTAAAAATATATATATTTTATTGATTTTTTACAGAGAGGAAGAGAGAGGGATAGAGAGTTGGAAACATCGATGAGAGAGAATCATCGACCAGCTCAATCAGTGGACCAAATCTCTCATGTTTAGCAATAGCACTGTCTTTAAATGAGTACTTCTTGTCAAGGTAGCCTGCTTGCAGTGTATTTGCAATGCAACTGTCAGTGATTTTCTCCCATGAATTCTTCACCCAAGTCACAACTTCTTGCAGTTTAGGTTTCACAAAGTTTCCACACTGATTTCTCTCCATTCTATTTTCAATGTAGTCATTAATTTCCATGCGCAAATTGCCTTTGAATGGCTTGTTTATTGCAATATCAAGAGTCTGGAGATAGGCCGTTATTCCAGCGGGAATCATTATCTGATCTATTTTTATTTCATGAAGAAATGTCTTCATATCTTTAGCACGGTGAGTGCTGGCTGCATCCCAGACTAGCAGACCTCTTTGGCTCCCTCGCATAACAAGCGGCAGCATTAAATTGACCCACTTCCTTATAACTGCTCATGTGGCCCAGGCTTTTTTAGTTTCAAGAATAAAAATGCCTTGCCGAAACCGGTTTGGCTCAGTGGTAGAGCATCGGTCTGCGGACTGAAAGATCCCAGGTTTGATTCCGGTCAAGGGCATGTACATTGGTTGCGGGCACATCCTCGGTAGGGGGTGTGCAAGAGGCAACTGGTCGATGTTTCTCTCTCATAGACGTTTCTAGTTCTCTATCCCTCTCTCCTCCTCTCTGTAAAAAATCAATAAAATATATTTTTTTAAAAAGAATAAAAACGCCCAAAACACGTTCAATATTTTCCTTCTTGCCCTTAGAAATAATTAAAGGTGGGATTTTAATGCCACCCAGATGAATTGCCAAAATACAGGAAACACGTGCACTTTCGTAAGCAGTGGAGGGAATGTACACCCCTCAATTGTTGATGATTGGCCCAATGGTGGAATGACCAGTTGCTATGATGTGTACTGACCACCAAAAGGCAGATGCTCAACACAGGAGCTGCCCCCAGCCATCAGGCCCTGGGCTAGCCAAGGTGGGTGC